GCCGAGGACGACTAGACCCTTGATTCCATTCTTGGCCAGGTAAACAGAATGAGCGACCTGTGTTTCAATATCGATGGGTGGAGTAATAGCGTTGTAGTTGGCAGTCTTCTTAGAAGCGAAGAACGTGGGAACGGGCACGTAGATACCCTTGGGCGGAGGAGCAGACATTTTTCTGGCAGTAATTTCTATGTCACAGATGAATTGAGAAGTACAGAGGAATTATCAACTCGTGAGGGGTTCGCTGAGGACATTGTTTATTATAAGCACGCATTTGCCGTCTTGCAAGCCAGACCTCGGTTCTTCGGGGTAGTTTACAGCGAAACTATAGTCCTGTAGTTGGGGAACGGTAACGGTTCGGCCTATCGAGACTTAAAGATGGTAAGACCAGCCGAGATCGGTGGAAACCTTCCCCTCAATCTGGGACAGTACGGGATAATTTCCGGTTCAGTTGCCGGAATCATGAAGTCGTTGTGAATTGTTGCGTGCCAGCCAATGGTTGTATATGGACAGGAAGCCAACTCGCCTACACTGGCTTCTGAACATCGGATCAAGCAGAGCTCAGAGTATCTATTAAGTCAACAGAAATTCTTGTTACTCTGTGTAAACATCGATTTTCATCTCCTGGTCTTGAGCAGGTAGTATGTAATTAGGCAATAGAATGCCCAAGTGCAACGCTGTTCACAGATGCCGAAGTGGAACTAACCTAAAGCTACACGAGATACTCGGTCGATACCTTTCTTCAGAGAATGGAATATTAGCATCATAAGACCCTAATATTTGAAGGATTTCTGAGTTTATTCTGAAACTAAATATCTATCTCATAATGACGTTCAGTCCTCATTAACTGGAACTTCATAGTACAAGATTGCCAGTTTCATGGACCTCTGGTTCGACATATCATGCACACACGATACCTTAGTTAGCCACTCATTTTCCCTTGTTGAATTAAAATTTGTGTCTATATTTTCCTTTTATTGCGTTATTCTCATTGAATCGTTCTCACATACTCCGTGCCTGGGCGTGGCCCTCTATCCCCGTTTCCCAGAAGTTTGCCAGCCAAACATGAATTCCTCTAAAGTGGTCCACATGTCCATGCTTCCCAGTCATGATATTGATTGCAAGGGGGTATTTTAAGCATCATCATGGTTATTTTCTTCACTCTTGTATGCTCATGAGCGAATAACATGTGTACCCTCAGCCGGTTCAAGCACCATCCATTGGCACGGCAGATCCTTCTTCTCGTTGTGTTCCCGCAGCTTAGCAATAATCTTGGCGGCGATAGCCTCGAAGTTGTGCGTGGCAAGAGCCAGAATGGTAGGACCGGCGCCGGATAGACAAACACCGAGGAAGCCCTCGTCGGTCTTGGGAGACATTGTTTCGACGATCTCGGTCAGACCGGGGATGAGAGTCTGGCGGTAGGGTTGGTGAATCTTGTCTTGCATGGCAAGATGGATGAGCTCGGGATCGGGAGGGGACTGGCCCAGGGCGACGGGCAGAAGGGCAATTCGCTGCAGGTTGAAGACCTAAGGCCGTGTATTAGCTTCATCATGACCAGACATTCGGAGTTTGACATACCACATCGGGACGAGTGTAGTTCGCAGGCAGCACTCCTCGCGCAGCATGTGTAGCAACCTGGAAGTCAGGGATAATAGCAACAGCCTTGATCTCCTTGGCCCAGGGGAACTTGATATGGTGACCAATTCCGTAGGGAGGGTTCGGCGGCTTCTTGCCCGTGTCCTCACCTCCGGCTGGCGCAGGGAGAACTTCACTAAGCGGAATTTCGGTTCGGGCAACGTCCTCGGGGGTCAAGGGCTTGAGATATGTTCCGACGAAACCTCCGTAGAGGGCAGCTCCGACATTGTCAGGATGTCTCTCTAGAATTGCGGTTAGTTGGTAATTGAGAGTCGATCGCGGGGTTAGCTTTACCAATCATGAGACAGTAGTCGAATAGTCGGTCATTGTCAAGATGCTTCAATCCTCCAACTTCCTTGCCTAGAACAACACCAGCAACAACAGCGGCACCTGAGCTACCAAGGCCACGACCTAGAGGAATAGGGTTCTTGACATGCACGTGGGTCTCAACTGGGAACGCCCTCTGGTCGTTGCAGCGCAGAACATAGAGCGCTACACGTGTGATAAGGTTGACCTGGGGGTCAAGGCTAATCTCATCCTCGCCCTCTCCCTCGTATGTGATCTTGCAGTTGAGCGGGTGCTCGGACTTTGTCTTTGACCGATCGATGGTTACGTGAAGCTCAAGGTAGACGGACAGGGCAAGGCCAATGACATCAAAGCCAGGACCAATGTTTGCGCTGGAGCTGGGGGTCTTGATGATGAATGATTCCATGACTGCTGCTGCTGGTGGTTGCTGCGGTGTGTGCCGAAGTTCGGAACTGGAGCTTGTTACTTGGAGGAAAGTTTTGAGACAAGATAGCAAAGAGAGGGTCTAACGGCGCGAAGCAAATCGGGGCTAGTACAATTCCAACGCCTTTTTCTGACTTCTCACGACAGAGGAATTCGAATTGCAGATTCAAGATTGAAATGTCACGTTAGAGAAGATCTCGCCGATAGTGGAATTGTCTATTACTGTGACTGACATGATGGTCAAAATCTCCCCGATGACGGAGCTCTCCACCACATGAGCAAAAAAACATGCGGTTTGGGCGCCCTATCACTGAAAATTTGCTTTAATACCAGCAGAGTGAATGGCATTTGGCGGGGTAAAATACTCTGGCTCTTCAGTCCAGAACTGTTGCGGCGGGGTTGAGTTCATCTATCGAAAGGTTATCTATTGGTCGATAAGAGAGTTTCTTGAAGGGATTCTGATTGCTAAATTTGGACATTGAATGGTCTGAGCTGAGCTGGGATATCGGAGTGGTTTGCATCGGGCCATCGGGTTACTAGTCTGATGGTGATAATCTTATCTGAGCCATTATGCATATGGAATATGTTTGTTGCCTTGACGTAGCTTTTCGATACGAGAAGAGCCACTCTTTTAAATCCTTGGCTTCTTTTGTGAGGCTCAGCTTGATCCTCTATATCTGACGTTAACGGATACGATGTTGCACCGTTGTCTCTGCCCAACGTATTGTTTGTGACCTGTATGTGTGTTTGTGGGCCTCAATTTACATAGTAGAGAAATCTTGAAGCTTGTAGAAATCCGTGTATGCATTACTTGGCTCTAGTAAGTCCACTGCTATGCAAGCTGTCATACCCTGTCAAAGAGTAAACCAATTTTTAACGATCCCATCTCTGGGTGATTTATTTTTCATGATCTGACATTCTATCTAAAGTTATATGAACTACCCTAATTTTAATACAGTATCTGTAGATCATTTGTGTCATGGAGCTATTCAATTCCTACTCTTTGGCCATTTCAATGGTGTTTTCCGTGAACAAGTGACCGACCGTGCGACCCCAACCGGCAATGCCGACAGCCCACTACTCAGAGGCTTCCAGAACTTCCAAGCCTCATATCCCAAAATAGCACAGGACCTCAATTAGCATCTCACCACCATGATGTCAATACCAGTAGTGCATCACGGGTTCTCACGTCGGATTCACTTTTCGGGCACAAACAGAACAGGACCAGACCCTGGATCCGTCTCGTAACTGCACCAGTGCCGGAAATTCCGGCACTTGAACAATGGATCCTTGAGGTCTTTTTGTCCAGGAAGATCGCTGAGCCCATGACGTTCAAATTCTCGTGTTCTCTTGATGCCCCATGGGATCATCCATGTTGCTAAAACTCCCATTTGCGGAGTTTTTATCGATCCACAATCCGATGTTCTTGGCCTGGTGTTTTTGTTGCTTTCACGATGCAATACAACGTCAATAGCTCAGACCATCTTGTCAATTAATTCCTGTTCGGGGTTTCCCTTATTGACGGTTCTTTGATGCATCGACAACGCAGGGGAAGAATACGAGCAAGACTAGTCTGAGATAGACAGGTAGGACCCTTGAGATCAGTCATGCTTCTTGAAAAGACGTGACTAGTCGTGAATAGATAATGCAGCTATTCGGCGGTGAGGTCATGGGATCACTGGCTCGACACGTTGATCGAACGAGGTGTTGTCCTAATCCGTGACACTAATTATTCAACATTGAAGCTTCAATACTAAGGTATTTCCAAAGTAAAACTAGAGCTATGACCGGCGATTCCGCGACAAGGGCAGCATGATAAGCTCAGTGTAGCCTTACTATGATATTACAGATCTTAGTGAGCCTGAGCCTCTTCAATGCGCTGGAGCTACGTTACGTCGGGCTGTTCACAGGATGACACTAGCTTTAAGCTGAGCTCAAGAATACGAGATATTCCTCACCAAAAACAACCTAACGTTACCCCACAATGCCCCAAAATGGCGGCCATGACCGGCAGAACTCAACCCCTACACCCCTGTACGACGGGAAATATTCTGGATCTTAAGTCTGGGCCTGTCTATAGTCAACTGTAATGCGAGCAACCTTTCGGCACGCCACGTCCTTCCTTTAGGCTCTAGGTTCTGTATCCGCTCCTCGAAATAGCATACGGCGTAGCCTAGCCTTGCTCTGGCATCCGTTGCTAAAGTCAATTTTGGCAGCGATGGCACCTGGAGATGGTCAATACGATGGAGCTTGGGTAGCTTCTCGGCCGGGTTGTGATAGTCCATCTGCCATTCAATGCCAGCTATGACGCTATATGGAGAAAATCTAGGCTTGTCCAGCCTCCAGCCTCCCCGTTGTTTTCTCGATTTGGCTGTGGAAAGGCTGGTCACCCGAGGCTCGTGATGGGTAACGTTAGATGCATGGTTCGTTCGTTCGGTTTCTTAGAGAACATATGTGAGAACTCAAGTATAAGAAGAGCCCTTAGTCTCGTCCAGATATCTCCTCTCTTCTTGTATCATCACTCTCAACAACAATCAACCACTCTCATCCTCTTCGAGCTTCCAGCCAAACACTCCTCTCAACACCACCACCACTTTCCTCTTCACTTACACACAAACAACCCAACAACAACCGTCAACATGAAGCTGTCCGGTGTCCTCTCTGCTCTTGCTCTTACCTCCGCCGTCTCGGCTACCACTGGTGAGTCTATTCACACTATTCTCTGATATATCTTCACCCACTAACAATATTCAGTCTCCTACGACACCGGCTACGATGACAAGTCCCGCCCCATGACTGCTGTCTCTTGCTCTGATGGCAAGAACGGTCTCATCACCAAGTATGGCTGGAAGACTCAGGGCAACATCCCTACCAAGTACGTCGGTGGTGTCAACATCATTGAGGGCTGGAACTCCGCCAACTGTGGTGGCTGCTACCGCCTCGAGTACAAGGGCAAGAAGATCAACGTCCTCGCTATCGACCACGCTGCCTCTGGCTTCAACATCGGCCTCGATGCCATGAACGCCCTCACAAACGGCCAGGCTGTCAAGCTCGGCCGCATCAACGCCCAGGTCTACCACGCCAGCCCTTCTGACTGCGGTCTCAAGAAGTAAACGGCGCAGCTCTACGATTTTATGAGATGCATATGAGGCTTTTTCGATAGCGGATATTCTTATTCTTTCCCTCCTTGAACTATAGGTTTAATACTTGGCATTGGCTGGCGTTTAGACTACGATCTTACACATAATCTACCTAGATACTACACATGAATGAACATAGAGCTTAATTGCTTTCTCTTCAATTTTCTACTTTGCGATGCTACTAAGTAAAGTGAGTAAATGATAATTTGAGACCTTAAACTAGCCATGCGGTTTGCTCCTTTTGGTCAGATATTCTGGAGATAAAAGCAGCTTGAAGAAACCCCACTGACATGCTGTTACTGTCATCGAAAAGTGTCAAGCTGACTCTCCCACCGTAGTTCTTTTTGTACATGCGAAATCGCTCTTATCTCATCCCCTTCCTGATCCAGCAGCCTTTCTGTTTTGTTCCAACTGAGCTTGATAGCGACTTTTATTCCCACTCCCGCAGCGAAGGAGGGGTCTCCGCACCCTTAGACGAAGAAGACGACGACGCATCTAGATCGTCCCAGTTCTGCAATGAAATTTCATCAATATCAGAGGGAGGGTCAGATAGAGGAGATGATGGAGTGTGGATCAAAGGAGATGGTGGAGGGTCAGATAAAGGAGACGAAGCAACCGTCACTGGGCTCCTGGCGTTGGTCGAGTTTATGTTTGACAAGTCTTCATGACTGAAATTGTTGTCATTTGTGGCATAGACATAGTTGGGCGTTGGCATTCGTTTGGATGTGACAGGTTCGGGAAGTTGAGGCTCTGTAGCAAGCTCGGTGAAACGGCTTCCGCCTTCTTCCTGTTCTTTCAGCAAAGTTAGTATATAAGTGCGAACAGATCCCCAAGGCCTAATGGATATCATCAAAGTCGAGACTCGTTCCTGGGTGTAGAGAACAAGCGAAACAAGGAACGAGTAAGTTGAGTGGAACTTTCTCCGAGTGTTTCTGTCTCCCCAGTGCTTGAGAGCCTCAATTTTCCTGGTACAGGGGAGATGGGAGTACATACCGCTTGGTGAGTTTCCAATCCACATAGCGCACTCGAGAACTTCAACACGAGCCACAAAGTCCTCATACTCGAGGCCATGTTCCAGACCACCATGAGGCATCCGGATTTGTTCTGGGGCTTTCAGGATTATCTTGACTTCTTTTCCACCTGCGACTGACTCTGCGAAGTCTATGAAGTCGTCTATCAACCCTCTCTCACCCTTGAATACCACACATTTCTCTTCGGGGCAATATCCTATGAAGTTGTCCGCAAAGGTGTCCGATAGTTTGGTGATGTGCAGGTCGGTTGCAGCTTCGGTCTCAGGGCAGCGCGAAACTATGACAACAACCTCGGATGATGGAAGCAGGTATGTCGAAGAGGGACGGGGTGAGCCTTCGCGAAGATCTGTGGATATGAGATAAGATTCGTAAGCCGGCTCCAGAATAGCAGCTCGTTGCTGTGCAAAATCAGAAAGATCCCCTGTCAGCAGGGAATCCAGGTTGCCTTCGATAATCGTCGACATTTTGAGTGTTGGTAGATTAATGGAGAGAAGATGAGAGATTGTTCAGACATTTATAAGAAGGGTATTTATCGCGGACTTTGAGGCAGCAAAGAGTGACACTGCCATGTACCTGCCGAGGGCTGGCAATCGGAGGGAGGCAAGGAGAGAAAACAATAAGGGATTCAAACGGAAGGAGCAGATTGTTCGGAGAAACATTAACTTGCCTTTCCTGCCTTAACTCTCCTATTGCTAATCTTCTCTTCCCGCAGCTGAGGTAGCTCATCTCTTCACACTGCCGTGTTGACATCTGATATCGATTCGTATATGGTTTCCTTTGTATCGGTACGGACCGTACAAGAGCACAACATTGATGCCCCTATGCGCCGTGGCCCATACACCAAGGACTCGCTATGGCAGAAAGATATAAAGTGAGGGAACAACATAATGTCAGATTTTTAGACCTTCTGTGAGTTCTTCAATGACACCTTGAGTGTGGATATCATTCACCTTGCCATAGGAAATCTAGTATCCCTTTCATGCAAGCTCACGAGACAAACCATCGTGAGAATAATGTTAAGTGACAAGGTAAGGTGGAAGAAAGACGGGTACTTGCAATAACCAAGCTTCAAAAGTCGTTTACAGTTTCACAGTCCGCTGTTTGTATTCTAGCAGCCGTAGGGAGGGTATAAACAATTCCTTGTAGTCATTTACAGTTTACAGACACTTGATACGTCGGCCAGTATCCGTTTGGATTTCTTGCATTGATATGAAACAGTATATGCATATCCAGACTGGTTGATGTATGTGTTTTATAAAGCTCCAATCATATGTCTTGTGAAGCAACAAAGCTCAGTCTTCTTATAGGCTAGCTTATTTTATAAGTTGCATTCTAAACGCTTACAGCTTCCTTCAGACGCACAGTCTCGATCTACAAACACCCAATCAAATTATCATTATTCCCGGGATATCTAAGCGAATCCGAGTTGATGCACTGTACCCGAAGTTATTAGTGACCTGTGACGTGGGGTAATCCTAGTCCGTCATCAGATCGTCGTACTCCTTTCAAACAACGACTAGCAGAAACTCCTGTCTTTCCAAAATGCAACTCCAACCTGTTTTTGTTTTGGCCGCAATCAAACAAATCATGTCCCAGATCAAACCATGGCTTCGCTGAACATGCAGAATCTTCCAAACGAGCTCGTTGTTCACATCCTCAGCTTTCTTGACTCTGAATCTGATTTACAAAGGCGCATTTATCTGGACCCTGCAAAACTCACCAGGCCGGTACCATCCGGTCCAAATACACCACTCAAGAACGCTTCTTTAGTATGTCGTCTCTGGAGAAGTTCTGTAATAAAGATACTCTTCCGTCATGTTGTTTGGCCATTTCGGCGTTTTTACAAGCCAGTTGCACAAGATGCCGCATCACAAATCGAGGTTCTGAATTTCATCCGAAGAAACAACCTATCATCCTCCGTTGAGAACTTCACTATCATGATCGATCTTCCTCTCGGGTCAGGCCAGAATCGATATCCGGATGGCCAATTCTGGGGCGTTCTGCCTCCTGTATCTCATCAGCCGGAGACGCCAATGTCCTGGAATCTGTTATGGTCTGTTCTGAATCAAGAGGACCGAGACGCCGAGGGTAGTGACACAAGGACTGAGGAAGACAGGGCACAGTGTTTCTGGGATAACAACTGGCTCTGGCATACGATCTTTGATGTCATTGACCCCCTGAGAATCACCATGATCAGCTCAATAGACATTCTCGCTTCCCTTTTGAGCCGAACTGTCGATTTGTCGAGTCACTGGGCTTTCAACAGCACTTACTATGTTCTATCATTATCGCGACTATCACGAAGTATTGCCGAGTCTAAAAGAGTACAGATTCTGCCTTCACAAATTCCTGGACCAACGAATCGCATCCCTTGTGACTTGTTCCATATCAGAGACTGGAACTCAGTCCTCATCAATGAAGGATCCTTCGCCCCAGTCTATTCGACCTACGAATTCTTTCACTACTCAGCAGCTACTCTTCTTCCTGCAATCTTTGACTCGTCAGATCCTTCCTTCGATGCTCTATGTGTAAACCTTCATTCGTTGTCCTACATCGCCACATTCCCCCTTTCTCACCATATTTCCGACCATCTCATCCCTAATTGTCCGCCTGTGGAGCATCTCTATGTACAGCTGATGCCCAAGAATCATGATTTCTGGGAGAGCAGCAGTCTTTCACGGGTGAACCTTTCTGACTTGTGGCTTGAGTGCGATACATCTTACGCATTGCTTGTGCGTCAGATGCTGGAAACTGTTCCTCAACCGGGTTGGCAGAAGCTAAAGGTATTCGAAACAGGTGATACACCTGCAGAAGGAGTGTGGAAGATGAATACCTACGATGGCCATATCAATGGTTCAAATGGGTGGAGAGAAGAGAGCGAGGGTGTTTTTGTCAAGGATGATATTCAAAATAGTGATGAACAAACTACAGCAGAAGAATCATAGTTATGCGACCGAAAAATTGACAAAGCTAAGGTCAAGTTTATGATTAACAGGGTAGCATTTTATGATATTTAAGTTCACAGGTCGTCCAGCAATTCTATGATTACCTTGCAACTTTATGAGCACTCTTTAAAATAGTTCCCCGAGTCCAGTAAAGCCATAGAACCTGGGCTCCTTTTATGCTACGCAGGAAGAGCTCCGAGAGATAGCATACTGGCGCGGATGTTGTTGATCATCATTCATCTACATCATGCTTTATCTTGGTAGAATATGAAATCTATCACTCATCCACGACTATATTGATCCAAGTACCAGGATCTTGGTGAACCTTCAGCCTCCCAGGCTTCTTGTAGATGAACCCTAAATCCAGACACAAACGCCTCTAAATGATGCACAAAGCAGCCGGTAAAGTCTGTACACAATAGATACACCGCCAGAACCTAGTCCCCGGCCGTTCCCTAAAACCCAAAACGCCATGTTGAGTACACAAATTCTAATCTTCGTCACTATCGATGTCGCCATCCTTGTCGCTGTCTGAAAAGTCCGGGACAGGCTCCATCGCTGCATGCTCCTTCATCTCCCGATACGTGCTCCAAGTCAGGCCCAAGAATGCGACAATGATCATGGCGCCTCCAGCAATAGCGGCAAAGCTCAGAGGCTCACCAGTAATCATCCAGTCCACGATGGCAACAATGAAGATGGTGAGCAGCGCAGCGACCGATGACAGGACAGGGGAAGTCAGGGAGATGAGAACGAGGAACGAGCCGCTGAAAGTGGCATTGGAAAGCACCGCGAGGAGAATGAGCCAGCACGTAGAAGCAGCTGGGATCTCGAACTTTTCAATGTTGAGCCAGTCGAGAATTGGGAGAGGAAGCCAGAGCACCGTGAGAGTGAAAAGCCCAATCAAAGAACCGAAGGTGTTGGCAAAGATCATACCCCTGCCAGGTGAGCAGCCCTCGGGTGGGCAAGCATAGCGCTTGTACAACACCTCGTACAGACCATACAGAACTGAACCCACGCCAATGACGAGATTGCCAAGGAATCGGTTTCCAGCCTCGACACTCTCGCCCCCCTCCTTGGTGTCACCATAAGCAACGACGAGGACACCGCCAATAGCGATTAGAACAGCAATCGACTTGTCGAGGCGAAGGGGCTCGCGAAGAAGTGGAACGGAAAATACGTATGCGAAGAAGGCAGAGCAATTGTAGATGGCCGTCAGATCCGATGGCGTTGTCAGACTAACGGCAATGTACCAACTCAAACCAGCGACGGTCAGCGAGCAAGTAATGATGGCAGTGAATCGAACAAAATAAAGAACGGGTCGCGCGCGATGCTGAATCGATATATGAAATACATCCAGGGTCTGCTTTTCGATCATAATGGCGGTGGTGCGTAATTGTTGCTTATGTCGCTTCCAGAATACTGGCCATGGTACATCGCGCTTCTGGAAGCGCAGAATAAGGAGCTGAACTGGCCATAACACAATCCAAGAACCGTGGGTAAAGTACATCATACAGTAAGCCTTGTCCCAGCCAAGGTCGTGTTGGATGTATGCGCTCAGTTCTGTCTGAACGCAGAATGCGATCAGGCTGACGATGAGGAAGAATCCTGCGTACGTGTACCTCTTCTTGGTCGAATCTTCGGCAACAGCGGCGGCGGTTTGAGGGCTTCGACTGCGCATCGTGGATCGCCGACTGAGACTTGGTCCTCCCATTGATTCTCCGGGGTGATATGGGAGATCGTCTTCGCTAGACTCCCTTGACCCCTTTGATCCACCATTAGGAGGCGAGTAACCAGCGCGGCCACGCTCTGGGTCATCTTCCTTGTAAAGGAGAGGAGTTCCAGATTTACCATCGCCATGACGATGGTAATGAGGTCGGCGAAGGTCATTGGGATCCATATTGTCCAATTCCAACCACTCGCTGTCACTGTGGATGTTTGTGTTCTTGGGATCGTGGCGCTTCGTGTCAAGATCGGAAGCGTCGCTCGGATGGTCGGCGGTGCCACGGGCGCCAACAATGTTTGGTCTGGCAGTCGAAGATGGACCTGGTTCGCATGTGGTGTCGTCGCTAGATGATGTTGAAGAATCCGAGTCCGTAGACGATCGATTGTGACCTTGCAGAAGGCGGACTTCTTGGTCACTGGTATCACGCCGAGGCATGAAGGGAGAGGGAAGGGAAGGGGTACTTCTATATAAAGATAAAAACTTGACAAAATTACGAATACAATAGGCGAGGGGTGCGATAAAGGAGTGAAACGGCTTAGCTGATTTTGGGCCTGCACCGGGTTTGGTCTTTTTGGCAAATCGAGGCGTGGTATTGGATCCGTGGTATGTAAAGGTGGTGTTGAAAAACAGCCATGGATGGTCCGGGGCGGAGACAAGCGGGTCTCGAGACCCCGATTTTGCAGGGGGTTTACTCCGCTGTAGCGCAGGGGACCAACAGCGCGGGGAGTTGGATGACACAGGGCGGGGGGGTTTCCAGCAGGGTGCCGTCATTGTTGAACCTGGAATCCACTGGAGAACAGGCTAAGATTGTTGAACCATGAGGTGATTGTTTCGAATCATTACCGTTGATGAGTTTGTTACTAGCGACTCAGTGAGGTTATCGCGGTTACAGCTGAAAGGTTACGGCGAATAAGTTACCGTTAACCGTTGAAAGTATTCACTAACAGCAGAGATTAGGTAAACTCTCTGCTCTCCCACGTGCGGAAATAAGCTTATGCGTGGTACAAAAGCACAATCCTACTTTGCACAATAACAGGTTTTGACCTGTCTCTTGGATCTCTGTAAGATCTGATTGCATGCTACCTTGTCCTGCAAACAAATGACGCCTTCGGTCATGTGCCGTTCGCATTCTCTCCACGCGCCACAAAAACCAAGACAGCCTTTTTGAACGGTATGACCATGCCACCAACAGAAATGACTGACAGCACGTGAGTTTAGAGTCCAGTGTCTAAGGTAGTCTATACCAAGCTCTGTATTACTTCTTCTGCCTATTGCTATTTTACTTGGCCGATGCACCAAACAGAGCCTCGTGCACATTATATGTATACTCCAAATCCCCGTGCCAGTAGTTGGCCGTATCTGCCTTGGAGTACAGCCACGCCTGGTCAAGTGCCTTCACCACCTCGTCCGGCAGAGGTCCCTTTTCAACGAGCTCAAGGTTCTGCTCGAGCTGCTGAACGTTGGACATACCAATAATAATACCATCGTTGCCGTTTGTGACTTTTAGTCCCGAGTGGTGGATTATCCATCGCAGAGCTGTCTCAAGCATGCTCAGTCCATTCTTCTCAGTAGCTTCCTCAATAACCTTCAGAGCCTTGAATGTGCTCTCTCTGAAGTACCGCTGGCGATATGCGGTACCAATCTTGCTCTGATCAGAGAAACGGCCGCTCTCGGGCTTGATGTCCATCGACTTGATCTTGCCAGAAAGGAGACCACCAGCGATAGGGTTATACACAACGATGTCGAGGCCATATCTCCTGCAGGCTACAAAGAGCTCTGCCTCGATAGAACGGGTGAGACAGTTGTACATGCCCTGGTAGACCGTGGGCCGGACCCAGTTGTTGTACTTGCAGATCATGACCACTTCTGCGACCTCGTACGCGGTGAAGTTGCTGATACCGAACTTGACGAACTTTCCATCTTTGTGTAGCTTGTTGATAGCCTCGAGGGTTTCTTGGAAAGGAGTGCCGCGGTCAGGACGATGGAGGTAGAGCAGCTAATGGGCGTGTTAGTGCATGCAACTAAGCTTATCGGGACATGCCACTTACATCGATGCAGTCAGTTCCCAGCTCCTTCAGACTGGTCTCAACCGACTCGATGACCTTGTCGTATGTGTTCTCGCCAGGTTGGGTAGGATACTTGACCTTTGTGTCCACAGTAAGTCCTCTCTCTTTCCAGTTGGTCTGCGTGCCAGTCCAGCCCTCCTGTTTGCCGCCAACATAGATGCGGGCAGTGTCGACTTCGTTGTAACCCTTGCTTTGGAAGATATCAAGGGCCTTGTTGTAAGTTTCAGGGTCAAAGATACGCGCGTCAAGCTGTTCACTGCCAGGGGGTCCAAAGGTCATTAGACCCAGGATAACACGAGGCTTGACGTTCTGGGTTACGAGAGGCATTGCGGCGGTTGATGGTGTTTTTTGGTATATTAATGCAAGACTACACAAATAGATGGAAGATGGAGGGGTCAAGCTCTTTATAGTTCCTCGGAAATGATTTGCTTCGGAGATGTGACTCTTAAACTCCAGCTCTTATAGTCGTGCCTTTCCACGACCTCCAGCTCATCATAGCACCCCACCAACGTCTGCGGCTTCGGGCGGGGTATGATTTCGGTAGATAGTTACAGTCAAGAGCGCCATGAGAGTTTAATCGGATGATCATCCGAGACGCTTGATTACTGGCCAGGACAAGGCATTGGTGGAATAATAGTGCTGTGCGTTTCAGGCTTTGACCATCGATCACAATGCCGTGATAACGAAAGGAGCTGAAGGAGTTGAAGCTCCTATAAGCTGCTTATCAGGGTTAGCTTCATGACGTAGATCCACGATTGTGCTTTGATCCATAGCTTCATCGGACTTAAGCCCTGGTGGAACTCTACGGCCATTGAACTAGTCAGAACAGCAAAATATTGTCTTATGAATTCTGAGCCACCGCTGAATCCGAGGACCCATTATGTAGCTTACAGTGACTTGGTTTGTATCTCAACCCATGTTCTGGTGAAGTCGTTAAAACTTAAAATGCTGGATACCTAGGTAGGTAGAATATCCATCAGGGTCAAGGGTCTGTGAATCCGAACAAGTTTGAGCCTGCTTGGTTACTATGATTTTCCCATATAAGAAGATTAATGGTTTCGAAAAGACATCAAGAAATCATCTTATAAAAAAGCATCATTGAATAATGTATTGCGGAGGTGGATATGTAAACTTGATCGGATAAATATCGGCGACTGATATTCCGCACTTCAACTCCAAAATCCAAGTGTCGCGATCGGATTTTGAGCTTCCCAATTGCCGAGTCCATCTCCCGTCGTACCATTAGTGAATGTGCCGGTTCAAACATGCTTCTGTAAGGATCAATCGGTATCGCTCGTGTTAAGCATTGGCTAATTCCCTCAGGTTCTCCTTCTCATAGACTAATTCCATCATGAGGGCGCAATTGGCCCGCCATGCTCGACGGGTCCTTATCCAACAAGTCCGATCCCCGTCTTGCGCTGTCTATTCAGCTCCCCTTCGACGAAGATGCACACCTAGAGCAATAAACAATGGCTATTCAAGACGATTCTTCCTCGACGGTCTGTTCTCCAAGGCTCCCCGCGAGATTCGTCAACCCGAATTCGAACCAGGATGGCAGAAGATTATGATTTGGAGGAGTCGCATGCTCGATAATTTACGGCCTCCGCCTACAGAAGAGCTTATCCAAGCATGGAAATCTTTCTTTGAAGGAAAGCTGTCTAGTCGAATGGCATTGAACGGTACACAAGCGATGCAATGCCGTCGACTCCTCGAATATCTTGTTCAAGAACGCGAATTCCCGACCCAGGCCAAGATCGAGATCCCCGAGCTTTTAAAAGCCCTCACTGCTCTCGAGAGCCTCCGACCTCGCGAGAGAACCGAGCATCATCTAGATTTTGCCAGAACCCTTTGGTCCGCCATCAATAACCCGAAGCTGCAGAAACCAAACTGGGTGACTAGTGGTTCAATATGGTCACAGTACCTCACTGTGCTATGCACTTTTGGTGGATCGAAGGAAGCTCTCGAGATTGTCTACGCGAAATGGAACGATGTCATGGAATTCTGCAAAAAGAAGACAAAAAATCCGATATTATCCTTAGCGGATGGACTTGCCAGGGACGGCTGTGAAGAGGACCTTGTCGAGCTGATTAACTATGCCGAGAAAAACGGTTATCCCTATGATAAACATCTTCAGCGCGTTCTGGTCACTTATTATGCTCAGAACAACCGAGTCTCCGAGACAAGGCAATGGTTCGAGAAGCCACTTTCATCTGGAAGCCCGTCAAACAAGATCATACCCCTGATTGCTTCTTTTGCTGCCCGTAATAACCTGCAAGAATGGGCGGTTCCTTTTTTCCTTGAGATCGGCAACAAGCTCAACGAGAAACCGGAGCAGCATTACTGGGATAGCCTGTTGCAGGCGATCCTCATCATTGGTAAAGGCTTACCAGAGGTGGAAAAGATGATATCACACATGGACAGTTCTCAGCAAGTTATCAAGACGACCACCGCCACTATTAACAGTCTTCTCCGAGCTGCTCTGGGCATGAACGACTCCTTATTAGCTGAGGAGATTCTCTCGCTTGCCACAGATAGGGGTCTCCAGCTGGACGGTGAATCTCACCTTATCCTCATGGAGATGCGACTTCAAGCAGGCTATCTGCCGGGAGTTCATGCAGCATACAAGAAAGTCACACACCACGAGCCCTGGCATGTTCAACCTGATCTCTGGTGGGATTTCGGCCGACTGGTAAACGAGTATATGATGACTCTCACGACGCAATCAACACCAAATTTCAAGATCATCGGCGAGATCATCGAGATGTGTGAGGAGAATCAGGTACTCCTTGAGCCGGAGATAGTTGCTTCGCTGTGTATCCGATTCTTGGAGAATGAGCAGCACTACGAGGTTATGGATATATTATCTGTCCACTCATTCCAATTTAGCGCAGCGGAGCGAGAGGTTATTCAGGATGCATTCACCCAATTCTGTGTGAACCGCGGAACTAGCACTTCGCGAGCATGGAACGGGTATCAGATTTTACGGCAGTTCTTCCAAGATCTTAGCTTTGAGCATCGTGTACAGCTGATGGAGGCCTTTTTTGAGCGAAAACGTCCAGATATGGCATCCCATGTCTTTGGTCACATGCGACAGCACCGAAATAACGACTACCACCCCAAGCGTGAGACATATATCTCGTGTTTTGAGGGTTTATCACGATGTCCAGATGAAGAGCCTCTGGATATCGTTCACAACATGCTCAAAATGGATACGACAGTTGAGCCCAACACTCAGCTCTATACTTCTCTCTTATTAGCTCATGCGGCTTGCGGGAAGACTACTCAGGCGATGGACTTTTGGCAAGCGATCACAGCCTCCCAAGAAGGACCTTCTTATGCCAGTTTAGAAGCCGTGTTCTGGGCTCTTGAACGTACACCGAATGGCGCAAGGCAAGCACACATCATCTGGAAGCGGATAAAAAGTATGGACATTGATGTGCCACCGGCAGTATACAACGCATATGTTGGTGCCGTTGCTGGCAGTGGAGAGGAGGCGGGGGTTCAGGATCTTATTATGCGAATGAGCTTGGCGACTGGGGGTGAGCCAGATGCAATGACGTGAGCTCCAATCCTATCTCCTACTGATACAACAAATCGCTAACATGAAATAGACTGGGCATTGCTTTCAACGCTTTACCAGGACAGACGCTGCAGTCGAATTTCAAAAGCTGGGCTCAGACGAGGTATCCTGAAGCATGGGCTAGTCTTGAGTCCAAGGGCAAGCGACTCAACAAAGATTCGCTATGCCAATACAAGCTCAACAGGATAATAAGAGCTTGAATGTATCACAAAGATTTTGCATAAAACGAAGAGATGTTTGGATGTAGACAATTGTATCAATATGTTACATAGAGGTTGAGGCTGTTATACATATGACCAAAAATAATGACCATGACATCAATCATCCCAGACAACATAAACGCCGGCACAGACAAGTCGTTTCCCTTTCTACATACGACTGGTCTACTTTTGGCGTGAGAAGAATTGATCTCGGAGCATCTCGGGGTGAGCGTGCACGCTGGGGTAGATACCCATGCCCTGCACTCGGCGGACCATCTTGGCCACCTTGCGCTGGTTGACGGGTCGAAGACGTGTGAGTTTGGAGTGGTTGATCATTCCAGAGGAGGATGTGAAGTGCTCGATAAGAGAGAAGTTCTGGGTAAGATGTTAGTGTGTGTAACAATTGGTTGGCGATATGAACGCACCTTGTACATATCAAGAGGGCTAATTCCAAGAGCATCGATAACATCGTTGTTTCGCACAGTCTTCTTCCTCCATTTCTGCATCTCGACAGGACTCAAGTCATGCGGCGAGTAGACATCACCAGCCTCCCATCGTCTCGGCATCTGTTTGAGGAAATCGTTTGACATCTTCTGGTTCTTGAGGAACTCCATCTGTGCCGACTTCTCCATAGTGTACGTGTTTGTCCGCGACTTGAATCGCTCTAAAAGCCTCGAGGCAGCATCTCCGCGTACTCCTCGACCAACTCCACCCTTGCTACTGCTGGCGTTCAGACCGGCCAGACGGTTGGCATGTCCACCGGAGGGGGGGTGTCGGCCGGGAGCTGAAGTAGCTGCTGAGGTGGAAAAGGGACGGATGATGCTGCGCGCAATCGTTGAAGCCGTCGAGGCCGTCGGTAGTTGAGGAGGCATTTTGGGCGGTCGCAATTGAAGCCGTCGGTCGAATTGGCGGTTGCGAGGCTCTAGAGCTGATTTTGGTGATGTTCGACGTTGGAGGTTTTTCGACCAAGCGGAATGCGGCGGGGCAGATTCCGCGACTCCACTCAGATTTTATCGTTTTCTCATCCAACCTTGAACTTTTGTATAGCGGGACAGCAACGATTTCCTCTACCAACAACTGCGCCGCCGACACATAAAAAAGGCATCGAACGAGTGTCACGGGGTGCTTAATAGTTGGAGGCGAACAAATACCGCAATCATGGTCCGAAAACTCAAGCATCACGAGCAGAAGCTCCTCCGAAAGACAGACTTCATTACATACAAATCCGACAATGGCCATCGCGACAAGGCCGTCATGCGACGGTACATGATCCAGAAGCCCGAGGATTATCACAAGTATAACCGTCTTTGCGGCGTAAGTCACTTCTATCTCGGGCGCATATTCATTGTACTAACAATCGCAGTCTCTGCGCCAACTCGCTCATCGCCTTTCCCTCCTCCCTCCCGAGAACGCAACACGCCGCAAGCACGAAGAGCTTCTCCTCAACAAGCTCTACGATATGGGTGTTCTTTCCAGCGCCTCGAAGCTCTCCGCCGTCGAGAACAGCGTTACCGTTAGCGCCTTTGCGCGCCGTCGCTTGCCCGTGCTGATGACAAGGCTGCGCATGGCTGAGACCGTGCAAGCGGCGACGAAGATGATTGAGCAGGGCCATGTGCGTGTGGGTACAGAAACCGTTACGGATCCTGCGTATTTGGTCACAAGAGGCATGGAGGACTTTGTGACATGGACTGTGGGCAGCAAGATCAAGAGGAACATCATGAAGTATCGCGACCAGCTGGACGATTTCGAATTGCTGTGATCTGGCTGTTTGGATGCCAGAGGATGGAAAGGGGAAGGGGAGGGAAATGCATGGGCAATTGGGAGTTCGGGCGTCTTTGTATGTGCTCTTCTTTGGAGAACTCCACCATGATGGTTCAAAAGTTTGAGAATGACTCTCTCTCCGATAATAGACGTTTGGTCAAATCTCAAAGCTGTATCTCGGTTGTATGGGAAATACAAGTGTGGCAGATGATGTGGGCAACTCCTTTTCCTCCATCCCTGGCTTTCAGGTAGTGCTCTCCAAGTTTCTGCCTTGACATCCCCTTGGATCAACCAAAATCTTACATAGATGGCGTCATGGACGACCATGAGGGCAAGCCTGAATTATTGTTCAGGGATTTTCTCAGATAAGAACCATTGTCCCAGGCAGCTCAAATCTTGAAGAGAGTTTAGCTGAGACATCTGGGTATAAGATAAACCAGGATTATAATTCTGTTTTGGAGAGACGTGCCCAGGATCAGCATCTGCAAAGGCACCTCCACATTCTGCAGAAACAATATCATGCTACACCACACAATTCATAGGCTAAGAATAATACAGTGACAATCATGATTGCTGTGGCGCCTTCGGCCCCGCTCGGCTCCGTATCCGGGCGGCGGAGAACTTACAAAACGAGCCGAGTCCCGTGTGTGCGTCTAAGTCAAAAGTTCCCCATCCTACTCTATATAAAGCAATTCTTCCTCCTTATATAACACCCGCATACGCATGTTTCATGGTCTTGGTGCTTGGATCACTGTGACTCATTGCCCATCATGGCAGTTCTTTCAACCCTCAAGGAGCTCATAGAGTGCCTCACTGGCCCCTATCTTTTCATGGGAATAGCTATGCGTTTCCTTCCTGGCACTCTTTTCGAGGTTATCAGAAACAAGGACTTCCGAACTCTGTTCTCGCCAACCCGCTTCAAAGATGTTTGGTTCGGCAACTTTTGGGCTTTCATCGGGCCACAGGTAAAAGCCAACGCAGAGAACCGTGTCATTCCATTACTCGAAGGTCGTGTGAGAAATGGTCATATGGGAGACGAGGTTGTTGGAGAGCCCATTAACGGCGTCGTTCTTGAGATCGGTGCGGGGACCGGAATGTGGGCGGATGTGTTCGCAAAAGTCAACGTCGGAGTGAACACCCAAGGAGATGCTGATGGAGAATTGAGGCGAAGAAAAGGAGGCAATGGCTTGACTCGCGTGTACGGCATTGAACCAAATCCCAAGTCTGCGGCAACTCTGAGACAACGAGTGAAGGAGATTGGCCTTGATGATATTTATGAGGTTGTCCCAGTGGGCATTGAATCCCTCAACGATCCAAAGGCGTGGGATGGGCGCATTGAGCCAGAAAGTGTCGATTGCATTGTCACAATTTTGTGTCTCTGCAGTATTCCTGAGCCTGAGAAGAACATCAAGCTTCTGTATCAAAGTCTCAAGAAAGGGGGTCGATGGTATGCCTATGAGCATGTGCGCGTCAATGAGAACAGGGGGGTCCTCTTGCGTGCCTATCAATGTGAGTCAGTCATCCAGCCCAGAAAAGCAATTGCTGATAACGATAGGGGTTACTGGTCTTGTGTGGTCACAAGTCATGGGGTCGTGCCGCATTTGCCGATCAACAGGGAAATCGTTAAGAGAAGCCGGGCCATGGGAGAATATTGACCTAGCACAGCCTGAAGGAGAAGCAAGATTTGGAATTCTTCCCCATGTTGTTGGAACACTGACCAAATAAAGGGCTGTCCATAGTCTTTCACGCACATCGGAACAATGTCGCGGCTGGGAATCAAAATATGAGTCATGCATTATGGGTATCAAATCGAATGCGCCAACGCCCATCACAGCTCGTCGTCATCATCGTCATCTGAGAGAAATATCGAGGTCCTTACACTCGACCCCTGAGCCTCCGTCTTGATCTTCTTTTCATCCTCAATCTTGGTGTCAACAGTCTCCATTTTTGTAGTCTCCGTCTTCACCAAAGCATCCTTAGTATCATGCCTTTTGATGTCTTCTTCTGTCGGGGTCAGCTTAAGGTCCTTCTTCTCATCCTTGACCTCTTCTTTGGCATCAATGTCGTGCTTAGTCTTCACTTGAGCAGCATCTTTCACATCCTCCTCCTTGACAATGCCTTCTTGTATAAGCTTCGCAACTCTCCTCTTATAAAAAGTGTCCAGACAATTTCTCCTTGCCTCTTGACTCCAGCTCTCCACAACAAGTGCAAAGTCTGTTGCGTTCGCAAAGCCAAACTCTCTGGCCATTTCGCAGAAATGTCGGAGCATGACTTCTTCAGGGGGATTGTACATGCTGTGTAGGCCGTCCCCTTGTTCGTCATCACTCTCCGCGAAAAGGGCGCTCTGTCCATCAACATCTCCAGACGAGTACGTCGTCATGACAGCTCGTCGTGAGAGTTGTTCCTCGACTTTGGACGTTCCAACCACCTCACTATTGTCGTGTGTATACTCGACACCCGCAGAAGTGAGGATCGCTTGGATCGCGTCGCTTTTTGGCTTTTTGGCCTTTTTGGATTCGATCATTCGTTGCTGGTTCTCTGCTGTGAGCAGAGTGGCAAGTTGACTCATGCCACCATCTTCAGCATCTGTTTCTTCATTCTTCACTACGGCAAGGTCCTCTCCATCCTTGGCCGCCTGCTCCATGTTGACATCCACAAGATGCACACCCGCCTTTGCTTCGGCAATATTTGTCTTGTTTACAATTTCCTGCAATAGACCACTATCGTTATGGTAGGTAAAGATGTTGGCAAGACCAAATATTTCGCCCTTTCGATCAGTGTCCTGTTGGACACCCTTGAAGTAGCGACGTTCAGATGACGCAGTGTAGCCAATGTTTGCTTGCTGCTGTTTGTAAATCTGACGCGCGTACACAATCTCCTCGACTGTCCCGAGCGAGACAAGGCGGAAAACCTCAACATCGCGAGTTTGGCCGATACGATAGGCTCGATCCTGGGCTTGAAGGTCATAAGACGGATTCCAGTGAGGATCAACAATAACGACTTTATTCGCAGATGTGATGTTGAGTCCCACGCCGCCAGCTTTGGTTGAAATGAGGAAGACAAACTGCGTCGGGTCGGAGTTGAATGTGTCAACAACTTCCTGGCGCTGTTCATAACTCAAGGAGCCATCCAAATAGCTAACAGTGTAGCTCGTATTGGTGAATAGGTGCTGGAGAATACGAAGAAGTCGCACACTGTGAGAGAAGACAAGTACCTTGTCGCCATTTGAGTGCCAGAATTTGAGCAACTTCTTCAGAACTTTCCATTTTCCACAAAACTCGGGATTAACAAGATTCTTAATCCGATCCCGATTATCGTAAACGTATTTCCAGTCCTCAGGCAAGCAAGTTCGAAGAGTGTTCAAATCTGACTCGTGTTTACCCTCTAAGTCGGTGGTTTGTGGTACAAGGAGAGTGAGATGATTTGCCATCTTTTGCAGAACAATCATGCTTGGGAAAACAATGTTCTGCCAACGCACGCCGCTAGAAAGGAGGCGATCACAGCACCATCCTCTCTTCTTGTCTCCACAGCAGGGCTCAGAAAGACTGCGAAGAAGATCGATATCCGCACTTTCCAGAAAATTCTCGTATGCTTCCCTCTGGAGATCTGTAAGAGGACAGAAGACGACGCGGTCGGTTTTCTTGGGTAGTTGCTTCGCTATGATGGTCTTCATTCGCCGAAGGAAATACTGTGGTAGCAGGTTGTGAACGAGTTTGTCAGCGGTTGTTCTTGCCAGGCTGAGCTGAGCTTTCGTTGCGTCGTGAGACTGGCCAACAGTCAGGGGCTTGGTAACTCTTTGTGTCCATTCTGCCAGAGTCCCGAAGTGTCCAGGGTTAGTCCAGTCCAGTAGTGTCCAGAGCTCTTCGTATCGGTTTTGGATCGCGGTACCAGTGAGGCCAAGACGACAAAGCGCATTGATCTCATTGAGAGCCTTGGTAGTTTCTGAGTATCTGTCTTTCAGCCGGTGACATTCGTCAGCAATCACTGCGTCCCATTGAACCATGTTGATTGAGCTTCGGCTGTTTTTGTATGTGTCGTAAGTAGTGATCATAATTTCAACTAGCCCTGCACGAGCGGTACTCAAGGCATCGTCTTTGTGGGATCCGTGGAATAGGTCAGTATGCCACCAGCCCCAGCGATCTAGCTCGTTCTTCCAATTCACAATGAGAGACCCGGGGCAAATAATCAATATTCTTGGGTACCATCTGTCCGGATATTGGCGGATTTGCCTCAGCCGCTTGGCGTCACGCTCGTCGCCAGTCTTGCCAAATGCAACTGTTAGAAAGGCAGCAACTTGCACCGTCTTTCCAAGTCCCATGTCATCTCCCAGTATGCCGCCTTCTTGGTAGACAAACTTTCTGTGAAGAAATGAAACGCCGGCAACTTGATAGTCTCGAAGGTACTGGGCGATCGATGCTGGAATAAGCCCTGCTGACTGGGGCAACTCAATATCTTTGTACGGTCGTGACGGTTTTATGCCACTGCTTTCACTAAACTTGGGTCGCTCTTCCAGCTCTCTGAGTCTTCTCGTTTCTTCAAAGTGAATTCCCGAATAATCAGGAGGTACCATGAGAGCATTATCGTGGTGAAGTTTCCTCTTAGTGTCAAACTTGCGCCGTCGCTCGATCAGATAATCGGGTAAACCTGCCAGCTCATAATCATCTTTGGGTGCTTCATTCTCTGCGTGTACATCATCTCCTTTCTTTTTTCGAGTTGATTTTCGCCCACCACGACGTTTCTTGGGCTTTGCAGGTAGGTCGTCTTCGTCTCCAGTCCATTCAACCTTCTCTTCAATCTCAGTCTCGTGTTTTCTTTTCTGCGCAGACTTTGAAAAGTATGAGGTGTTGTCCTCGGACTCCGAAGCCGTGCCGTCATCGTCAGGTATTTCTATTACATCTGGTGGTGCTGGAGGCATATCGAGGAGTGAGGTCAATGGTGAAGTACACGATATGTTGAACGCGTGGCGACGCGTTGTAGCATCATAAGGAGCGAAAGCACGTGACTATATTTAAGCCTTAAGCATTATGTCATATTTTAGCGACTCCGACTGCCAAACTCTCAACCAACGGCTTAGGGTTAACTATGATGGAATCAACCTCAATTACAAAGTTGATACGCGTATTCGCGCTTCGAATTTTTGTCTTTTTGTGGACAGTCAAAAAGCCCAAGCTCCACCCTTGTTTCTATTTGAATCCATTGAACGCACAGCCACATCGATCGCCCCATGATGAACCCGCTCGACAATGCCAAATGATCCTGATGAGTCGGCAATCATGAGTTTAGTGATCCTCATCCCTTTCTTTCTTGGACTTGACGACGAGTTACAAAAATCCCAATGATACCAAAGTTCCAACACTAATGTAAGACAAGGCAAACACTTCCAAACATAACCAAGTTTGTACTTTGGTGCTACTGTTTTCATCTAATCAGTGGTTTGAGTTTGGCGTGTCTTGAAAAGTGTCCGCCTATGGATAGCGCATTGTCCGTCGAGAACAGGGGACCCATGTTACACACATCTGCCGATGCCAGTCTGTACAACGGGACGAAGACAGTCACTTGTTGTTTGCTTCAACTTCATGTCGCGGAGTAAATGTTGGGGTAACAATAACATTGACGTGTTAAGGGATTGTTGGATTGACGGGTATCGAATTAATTACTAAAAAGCCCAGTGCATCTTTGCCTTGAGAGCCAATCCAACATGCGCCTCCATCATGTCGTAACTAAACAAAGGAAAAGAAGAAACTTGAATCGCGCCCATGCCAGTCATAAAATCAGCATCCAGCGCCAAGCGCGGAACACCGGCGTAAGGTATCAAAGTGAGGAAAACAACCTGCACAGCTCGTCACAGCGTCGTCGGCAGACAGCATGCGCCCGGATTGCTCGGCAGTCATTGGTGTCTTGGCCGTCAGACAAGGTGTCGCATGGATAATGACAACCGATGGCTGACCAGTCTTTGGCGATTAGAAAGCGGGGCAGCCATCATTAAAGCGATCCGGGAGGCGCCGCATAGCTGAGAAGTAAGGTGCAAAGAGGCTTAGTACTTCAGAATGATGTACAGAGCGTGGATGATACCGGGGATGTAACCTGCAGCGGAACGTTAGTAAACTGCTGAGCAATGTTCAAGGGATGGATAAGCCCCAAACCACGGAGGGGTCGGATGCGGCTGGGTATAGGGGATTGGGATGAGAGACAAGAGGAACGTACCCAAGATGGTGAGGAGGATGTTGATGAAGAAGTCGGCACCGCAGCCACGCTCGAGGAAGACACCCACGGGAGGGAGGATGATGGCAAGGAGGATCTTGCAGATGTCGCTATTAAAAGTGTTAGTCTATAATCTTGTTGATTGTTCATATCGACCACAACGACTCGAGTGTGCCATCCTGAGCTACCATAGCAGTCATGTTGCGACAACCCTAACTGCGGATCTCTCGGGATGACGTCGCGAAGTCGAGTATGGTTGAAGAGGTCGAGCTTACCTAGCAGTGAAAGGCATGTTGTCGGTTGTGAAGGCGAGGTGTTACTCGGAAGATGTGTAAAGTAGTAGGTGGTGGTTGAGAGTGAGAAGATAGAATAGCTTCGTTGGACTGAGTTTGTATGAGATGGTAAGGACAAGTTCGTGGTTGAGAGGGAGATGGTTTGTCTTTTATACAAGGCTCCGTCATAAACGGGCGGGCCAAGGACGGGCATGGCATCACATCACTCATTACACACCCATTCAACATTAGAAGGCAATCACTGCCAAACCAATTTCGTTCCGTAGCTTCCAACTTTCCCTGTCCAAGTAACATCAAGCGTCCGCGCAACCTCAACCGCACCTTCTTTCTGGGCACTGCGTCATCGACTGACTAGGATGAGGCAAGCCACAGGGACGAAGAAGAAGAAGAGAGCGTGGGCCAAGCAAAATGGGCCCTGCTTTCTCTTCTTTCCCGCCTGACCTTGTAATTTGGCACATGAGTTTACAAGTTTGGCAGTTGGGTGACCCCGTGCGGAAAGAAAAACAGCGGGTTACCTCGCAGATATCACAATAACAAATGCTACGTTGAACTGTATTATACTCTCTAAACTGATTAAATTAAATACTGAAATAACTCTAGAAAGCTACATTTGTTCACATATAAGTTGTATATCAATCTCTATCAATATGTGCTTAATATGCCCCAGTGAGCAATGGTATAAGTGCCTTTGCTTTTCTTTCCATCACCCCAGCCAACTTGTCGCGGAATTGACAAGGTTACTCGGGCTACGTCATGAGGCGAATGCCGCAGTGTGGCTGGGGCGAGCCTCAATCAATGGCCAACTGGGCTTGATCTTAGCGAAGTGGTTGACGATGTAAAGGATTCGTTAATCGCTGTGGCTGAGTTATCGAAATCCTTCATTCTCGATGCCAAATTCAACCTCAAATCTTGATATAGATCTCTGTATCATGTGCTGTGGCCACTCTGAGCCTCTCTGATATCGTAACTGAGGGTTCATGGTTCGAGAATGGATGTTATGCAGTGTGCCTGACGAGCAAGATTACCTGACACCCAATTGTCGTAATCAGCACGTTACTGTGTGATTACCACTAAAAGATGCCGAGTCTACCGACTCCAAGCCCTTGCAACAGGGTCAATTAAAAATGCCCTGCCTGAAAAGGAAACATGATTGTTGCTAAAATTTTCTTTGGTCATGCCCTGGGAATAAGCGCCCGAGCTGGCCTGCAGTTTCTAGATTAACCTGATTTTGACTTGGCTTGTCATGGTCTCCGCTGGCTCAGCTTGGCTCTTGGCTGGTTAATCTCATGTTTCAGAAGATTCGAGCGCACGCGTCAGTGCCAAGCTTAAACTAAAGTTCCAAGCCCTCTATCACGGCCTCACCGGCACTTGAAGGTGGAGGGCCAAGAGAGGACGAGTCGCCAGCCCCATTTCGACAAGTCTGGCCCTCGCCTGTAATCTCTCTTCTTACGGTCCTTCCAAGGAAAGCGTCACGATAAGGATGAGTCCGTCAAAGTCTAACTTTAGGTCATGATCTCAGAAGATGATACGATGATATCAGTGTTAGCACATCAATAATCTGGGGTTGTAAAGTTTGAGCCCAGCTGTGCCGAATATGCAGGGTTGTGGAATACGGTTCGCCCAATGGCGATCAGTCCTAGAGGATTTTCGCACTGGCAGACGCAAGCCGAGCTATTATCGTTCGCTGTCCAGTCAATGTAGTCGAGTGTGAGAACGGCATTCATCAGACTATTGATATTGGTACTGAGATTACAAGTTCATCAATTATGAGACAATATCGTCCTCTCATATGTCAGGTAACTGTCCAACTATCAGCGTTTGCTCCACCAGTAATCTCTGAATATGGCCTTCTAAAAGCCGTTTGGCAAATGAACATGATGCCTTGATATACGTCCAATTCGTCCAACCATGTATACACCAATTACGTCTGAGCCAAGGTAACTAAACCGGCCGCCAAGAACCAGTCGATTTGGAGATGTTGAGGGAGAACTAGTCTTTACGTATGCTGAGACTTGATTTTTTTTAATAATCTCATAACTTGATCACATCCAGTGTAGTGCCAAGCTTGTTATAGACTATCCTCAGGGAGCAAGAAAACTTCTGACATTTGATTAAGGTCCCAAAAATAACTAGTCTAAGAACCTAGATAATTACACTAAATTTACCTACGTCTTTTTGTCACTTTGGATATAGGTCTCAAGTTTTGCCTCCCCTAGACTATCTATACTGGACAAGAAAGCATACCTAAACAGTGCCTGGATCAATGACCTAGCCATCGTTACTCTCAAAACAATTATATCAATATTCATAACATAAGTTCCACAGCATGATGAGAATTCGAATGACCTTGATCCCAAACAGGATGTTGCTAAGGTATAGGGTATTTCACATGCACTACCTGGCATGTCATCCCCGGACGACATGATGAGCATTACCATTAAAATAGAGTAATGAAGGAAGATAGCTCCGGTCAATGATACAGCATACATGTATCTGTCTGTCATGATCCTGAATTCGTATTTGGTCAGAGAAGTAATGGCAGGCCAATGCATTGTATTCATTATTATGTATTCTTATCGCTATGATGGTAGGCGATGTCATTATATCAAACTTTTTTACCATGGTACATTACAATGTATCCACAGCCATAAATATCTCTGTAAATCCCAGTCAATCTGCCATACAGGCATCTTACAACAGCGCTTGTCCTTGTCGTGAACCAATGGCTTATTCCTCCTTGATCTCAGGAGTGACTTCCCAGCGCTTTCCAAAGAAAACGGTGCCCAAGATCTGAGATCCAACGATGTATCCAATGTAAGCACCGACAACAATGGTGACGGGCCACTTCTGCCACTCGCGATCCCAGTCGAGAGGAATAGGAACAGCTCCAAGCCAAGCTCCAACCACTGTTCCAATAAAGCCGCCAAATGTCTGGTCAAATGGAGCTGATACACCAACCACGGCCTGAAGAGGCACGGGGTCGGAGCCACGAACGTAGAAGACAGGATAAATCGCGAGGACGGCGATATGCGCGCAGCACAAGAATGTATGAGGAACATGTGTAAGGAAAGGCGCGCCAAAGAGGACAAGGAGGAGATGAAGAGCCGGTGTCAGGATTAGAGCTAGGAGCAATGAAATAACTGCGGTCTATACCATTGACATTAGTTTTGTGGCTTTCACGCATAACATAAATACTTACAGGAATAGCCTTTGCCTCCCGTCCATCTGACTTCTTCTTCTCACCAGGACGAGGCTTCCTCGAAGAGCCCGAGGATCCCGCTGGCGGGAGACTCAGTATAAGATAGACAGCCTGAATGGCAGCAACAACTGGGAGGCCAGTCTGAAGAGTCGAGACGGGATCGGCCACCAGGGCATCGAAGCGCCAGTAGAACAGGCCAGCGAGCAACAGCTGATGAGCGACTGATGCGGGCAAAGCGGCAGGAGAATTGACGAGCGGAATCGCGGGCACGACGGCCTTGGGCGCGGGTTGTTGGGCGGCGGTCCCGCTCTTGATAAGTGTTGTCGACATGGTGACGGGGTCGACAAGTGGCATTGATGAGAATTGTAAAGGAGTGTATTGAGCAATTGCTCGTAGCTTGTCTCGTCGCGATCGCCAACAGGGTGGTTTAGCTTAGCTTGAGTTGACAGCTGTAGCTGGCCACGGAATCACGTTTTAGGTCACATGATGCTGACAACTAGCCGAATGTTCGGCACCGAAATTCTCTCCTCCGCGCCGTTGCCTCCTAAGTTCGCTTACAGCACCAACTGGGTGACTCCTTTGAGCTAGAATTCTCCGAAAGAGACCTACCATCGGCACGGGAATAGGCAGACTAAGAATAAACCATGGAAACGAATGAACCAGAATCGGCATCGGCGACAGCCACGGCAATCATGGCATGGTTATCATCATCTGGATCTCATGCGATCAAATCTGGGCTATCCTGTCAATCTGGACCAGAACCTAGAACTTGACTAGGTAGAAACGACAGGGCAGATACATTTTGGGGTAAGCATGAGAGCCTTGTGAGTGGTTGAATGACTATCATATCATGGCAAACCCTGGTGATATTTGCAATCCAGGCTCAGAAATGCAACCACTTGCTCTTCGCCGTTCCCCGGAAACAGCGCAGGTCATTGCTTCGTTTGGGATCCAGAAATTCTGAAATCCTTTTTTGGGATCCTTCAGAATCAGTCGATAACAACGAAGTGTTGACGGGAGAAACAGGGTGTAGGTAAGGATGTGCCAATTGACCAATCGCCAGCGTCACCGGTCCCCGCCGACCAAATCAGAATCGCACCACAACCGCCCTCGACGCCCTAGAAATCGTGCCATGCACCTCTGGGCTGTTGTGCTGACTGATAGTTTACGGTGAAACATGATTGGCCAGCTGTCAAAACACCCTCCAATACCCCAGGATCCAGGTCTCTACAGTGGCATGATGGTCGCCAAACCAGATGAAATCTGACCACAATGGATGTATCCGGCTGCACGGGTTCTGGGAGGTCGCCGTTTAAAGGAATCCTTGACCAAATTTGTGATCTTTAGTAAAAAATGATCGGCATCTTATTTCTGTATAAGAGGATGCCATATACCGTTCCAAAGATAGTCTCTTCTCTCATCATCAGCAGCATCTGAAGCATCAACAGAGCAATAACAACTCTCCACTCAACAAACGTCTTCACCACTCAATTCGATTCTTGAGTATATTACTACTGGGTTTCCTGCAAGGACAACTTCAAATCGATTCATCTCAAAGCAACTCAACTCAACCAAACCACTTACACCAACTCAACTCCTTAAAATCAATCAACATGTCTCCCATCGTTGTTCGATCTGCCGCCCGCGCTGTCCAGCGCCGCCAATTCTCTCTCCTCACTGCTATGCGAAACGCTGGCCGGGCCATGGAGTCTCACCCATTCGAGCGTCTTCCCATCACTCAGCAGCCTGCTAAGCCCGACTACGCCAAGATGTTCAAGCGAGTTGGAAGCCAAGCTCTCTTGTAAGTTCCTCTGACATCCAAGACTTAAAACAATATCAACTAACACCGTCCAGCTTCTTCCCTGGCTTCGCTGTCATCCTCGGCTGGCCCCTCGCTGCCCAGTATGCCTTCGACGGTAGACTGTAAAGGATAGATAGACAGAGACACCCCAATCTCTTGGACAGACTTCGACCGAGCAAGACTCGACGGTACCACTACTCGATAAACACATGCACTCATGGATACTTGGATATTGGGACCAATTGTGACAATGCACAGTCACTTGTACATAGCATGGAAAGGCGTTGAGGTGCATTGCAGGAAGGGTGCTTAAAGCAACCCATGTATAACGATAATTTCTATAGAACCGTAACTGAATTCTTCTCCTTGCTCTTGATTAACTATACTCGTGTGATCCTTCCCCTTGCCATTGAATAATAATGCTCATGTGTTAAGAATCACTTCCCCGTCGCTATCCTCGACAGTGCCATCCTCTTCTTCCCAGTCAACCTGTTCTGCCATCAACTCTGAGCTTCGCTGAAGCTCTGCAAGACCTGAGAGCTCTGCCACATAGTCCTTGTTGTTCAGTGCTCTTTTCACAAAATCCCATCCATCTCTGCGATAGGCATCAAGAATCTTGGGGCTGCATGCGCTGCAGCAGTCGTAAGATTGACCCCGGAGAACAATGGTCTGAAACGTCGGGAGGAAGCCCCTTATTTGATGCGGAACCAAACCCAGAGGATGGTCAGAGGGGTCTCGCTCTGGAAACACTCCAGAAGTTGGCTGTGATCCTGGAGCATCTTTACCCTGGGGATGTTGTAACAAGCTTGTCAGAATTTCGACAAGAATGCCAGACGCGAAACCTGCAATACCGGGTCGAGTGATAGTGCATTGTTGGTCCAGAGTCGCATCCCTTTGAGACTAAATCAATGTTAGATACGTTGGCGGTCAGATAAATGAGAACTTACATCCGCTGGTGCCACAACGTCATTACAGAAATAGCAGCCAAGCGGTGTCTGCCCCTCGGCATGGCTTTCAGAACCATGTCGCATAGCAACAAAAGAGTCGAAACCCAGAGCAGCATTCATGACAATCTTTCCCTTGGCCTTTCCCATAACTGTTGGTAACCATCGTGACTCTCTTGAATCCAAGAGCAGGAAAATGGCATCGTGTTCGTCGATAAGCTTCTCCAGCTTTTCGTAATCCTCTCTCGTCTTCGACTCGTCTATGTAAGAGTGACCAAGCATGGGAATCAATAGCTGGTGTCCTGCACTGTCAATACCTGGGAACTTCTCTTTCAAGACTTCAGCAGCTCGAGGTGCTTTTAGCTTTCCTCCATCAGAACAGTCTTTCAAACTGTACAGTGGCTGTCGTACGGGATTGGAAAAGGATACTCGTCCGTGATCCACAAAGGTAATCTTCCGAACTCCCCAACCCATGAGAGCTTGTGACACATTACACCCTAGTGTGCCAGCACCTAGGAGGAGGCACTTCGTGTTCTTGATAGGATCCAGCTTGAGATTAGGGGCGACCCTCCATTTCATGAGCTTCAGATTCATGTCGACAGCATCGTCGGCCAGTCGTAAAGGATCCACATACTCTCCTACGTTGATGCGCTGTGCCTGGATTTTGCCGTTGCTTGCCCGAACCCAGCCAGTAACTTTGGGCATCTCGGTGATCTCCAAGTTCTCGACTGAGCCCATCTCGAGTGGAAGAATAACACTGCGAGCCTCGTGTCTCCTAGCTTGAGTATCTCGGTAGCAAATGACTTTTGCCTTTGTAAGACGGAATCGCTGTCGAATTAAAACCAGGAAATTTCTCAATGGCCACCCAGGATCTTCTGGGTATGTTGAAGGGTCAACAAATGCGAAGTAGCGGTCCTCTTCAGCCACATGGTTGAAGAAGCCATTTTCGAACTCGCGCAGCGAGGCAACCTCCCATCTGAATGGAAGCCCCTGGGCAGCGTCTGCAGCATCCGTATCCTGCTCTTGGACGTGTACCTTCTTCACCAGGAAGAATCCATGCTCGCGAGTGTCAATACTGTATCTCCAAGTTCCGACTCTGTCGGCAAGTGCCGTGCTTTCCTTGGAGTTGAGCCGTTCAGCTGTACCGGATCGGTTCCACGAAGGCTCAGAGTGCAGGGTGGGAAACGCGAACCAGTACGTGAACGTATACTTCTTAAGATCGGCGTATGACAGTATGATGAATGATGAGAGCAGGGATGGAATAGAGTAGATACTCCCATCTTTGATCGCATCGAAGATCTAGAGTTGTCAGTGGTGCTCCAGTGTCGGTGGGTTCATAAATACCTGTTGGCCAGCAGTCTTAAGCATGGCAGGCTTGTCTATGTTCTTGAGATCCTCCAATGTATTAGTGTTTTTAATGATTCCCTCGGCCCTCATTTTCCCGAGAGGTGGACTGGGCGCATTAGTGCTGCCATGGTCAGAGAAGGACTGTGCATAAATCAAAGAGTGGACTTACCTGCTGCCCGTGAGAGCATTTCCTGATAGGTGCACGCGGCAGCTGGATTCTGGTTCTTCCAAGCGGGGTTCATAGAGGCCCAGAACGCTACGCACTGAGTCGTCGAGCTTGTCGTGGTTCAGCTTTGAGCTAAAGAGCGCTAGGTAGAACGACAACTCTATCTCTGGGATGAAAGGGACAAACTTCAAAGGCGCCGCCATGTTGATGATGCTGGGAATGATGAAGCTCCAAGAAGTGATGGTGGATGATGAAGGTTCCAAGTTCGTGTGACGCTGGCAAAGTTGTTAAATAGCAGAGCAGAAACGTTTAAGGCAGGTGCGGGGTCGACTGAAGAGTGAGGCAGCCTTTTGGGTGGGTTGAAGGAAGAATGGAAGGTTCGACCCAGCTAGGTACTGAGAGCTGGTATTTGTAATGCTTGGTTAAGGCAGCAACTGCGTCCTTGAGGCAGTAAACCTTAGCTGCCCTGGGTTTGACTCCTGTTTATACTAAGGTACTGTTATTTAAAGTTAAAAGGCTGGACGACCTCTTGTATGGTTGAAAGCGGCAGGGGGGCAAATTAGGATTGCTGTTCACCCCTCTTCTCCAACAGAAGATCTTTGGTGTTGTGCGGGGTCGACGTCACGATCACTGTTACGAGGGACAAAGCAGCAAGGTTGAAGTTTTGATGCTGTTTGCTGAGGCGTATATGTATGTCTCTTGGTTGCAGGTTTACTGCTGTGATATGTTTCTTAGTCCGTTGATGTTTGTTGGTGTTTTTTGAGGGTGTAATCGATATCCTCTGATACAATCTGTCGGTCCTGTTCAACAAAGAGCCTGTCGCTGTCCTCGTCGCTACTGTGGTCGTTAAGGTGAACAAGTCACTAAAGCGATAACACTTTTAGCTTTTGGCTGCAGAGTGTCTTCTCGAGGGCTCATAACCTGTTATAGTTGAAATATAAGGTCATAGTTGTGTGTATTCCGTGATCTCGAAGGGTTCACCTGAACGGATAAGATGACCGTGACTGGTGACCTGTGGAGCTCCGCCTTGGGTCACAGGCAGGCGTCAGGGAGCAAGAAACTGAGGACCTCTATCCTTAGTGATAAAAATATTGAAGCAAATTTAGTGTAGACTTAGGAGGCCTTTAGATCAGTTGTTTTTATCACTTAGGATAAATATCCTAAGTTTTCTTACCTCCCCTGCGTAACAATGGCCCCACCGCGGGGTCCTGGGCATGCACCTTCCTCCTGTCACGCAGCCTAACTTACCTCTCGGGCCAGGCCTTCCATTATCGCCATTTCAGACGTCCCTCGTGGAGTATATGTGGTTATAGGGTAAGTAAAGGTCCTTGCTGTTGGTGGCTGCAACGCGGCGAATGTGTGTGTAAGTCAGAATGCCCATGTGAAATAAAAAAGGACATGGCAGTATTAATAGTCTTCTACTCTGGTTTTCTTCTTGAATCGTCATAATAGAGTCATGCTCATGTCTATTTAAAACGTTGTCATATCCATACCTCAGATCGACGCTATGGATGTCATCCCGTTGAAGATCTCCCAACTACATTGATGGGAGGTAACCGACCGAAAGCAAGAAGATATCACCGTCAGTAAACCAGCTTCGAATTTTACCGAGAAAAGGAAATCGATATTGCAATCCCCATTATTTCCATCCATCATAAACAATAACCCTTAAGACTCATTTACCATCACCTCAGCTACAGGAGAAACACGTTCTTCACAACCAGAGACTCGGTATATCGGAAGTTATCAAGTATACACCCGTTCAGATTTATTTCCACCTTTCACTTGAAGAATGTGACCTTCATCTCGAGGACGCCATCTCATTTAACGAGAGATTTGTGTCTGAAACATTCAAGGGTTCAAGCTTTCTCGGGACTCCTGGAATGTGCGCTTTGATCATAACTCACAGCATCTATATATATGAAGTGTCTAACTAGATCGAGATTTGCACGATAACTCGTAAGATGGAGAAACAGACTTGTCAACTCGTCGGCCGCTTTCGAAGTCGAGTTTGCGACACTTGTCAAAGGGTTCTGTAGACATTCTAGAACGCCAACGGTCACAGCCGCAAACAGTGCACCCCACACCCTGCGACGCGCTTACAATAGTCGCCGTACGCGTTAAATGGCCATACGAAAATCTCAGCGTGAGGCATGATACATCACCCAAAGCCTCTTCCTGACTTTACCTCTACAAACTTCAGAACAAAACCACAGCATCAAACCACAACATGCTCATCGGCGTCTGCGGCAGTAAGAACATATCACGAGCTTCCCACGTCAAGTCATAAACTCACAACGTTCAGGTATTTGCTCCGGCAAAAAGACAGTGGCCCAATATCTCGTTGAGCATCATGGATTCAAACTCCTCCATCTACAGCCACAATCGCAGCCAAGACCCTCGAATTCCTCGCTTGGAGCCGAATCCGCATCATCCGCGGAACACGGTGCAGAGTCTCCATCACAGTCTACTGACTCGACAGCATTCAAAGGCGCTCTGACCTCAACAGCGCTCACCACCAAGAATGGTCACCAGTCTGCTTCTGAAACCACGCTGACTCTCCGGGATGGTCCGCAACACGTGTTTTCCACAGCTGAGGAACTCCTCGACTTTGTGACAAAACGCTGGCGTAGCCGCTTTGTCACTACCGACATTCCCACCGAGGCCGTTCTAGACGTCTTTCTTCGTCGACCATTCTTTTTATTGCTCTCCGTCGATGCGCCATTGACGGTCCGCTGGCGACGGTTCCAGGACCGCGCGAGGCAGAGGCATGCGGGAGAGCCTGACATGAGTCTAGAGGACTTTGTCACAGAGAGCGATGCCCACCTATACGACGCAGAGAAAGGCCTCTCACCCCTTATCTCGCGTGCTGTTGTGAGACTTCTCAACACGTCATCCTCTCTAGCCCACCTCTATGCTACCCTTGGCAAGCTGGACATCCCAAATCCTGATCGTCTTCGTCCTTGCTGGGATACTTACTTTATGGAATTGGCATCCCTTGCTGCACAACGCTCCAACTGTATGAAGCGTAGGGTCGGATGTGTGCTTGTTGGCAAAGAACGCAGGGTTATTAGCACCGGCTATAATGGGACTCCAAGGGGACTACAGAATTGCACTGAAGGAGGCTGTCCAAGGTGCAATGACGGCAACAGCTCCGGAGTGGGCTTATCGACTTGCCTGTGTATCCATGCCGAAGAGAACGCACTTTTGGAAGCGGGACGAGAAAGAATACGCGAGGGTTCTGTCCTATACTGTGACACGTGTCCCTGCCTCACATGCAGTATCAAAATCTGCCAGGTGGGCATTAGCGAGGTTGTCTACGCTCATACATACAGCATGGACAACGACACAGCCCGGGTGTTTAGGGAGGCTGGCGTGAAGCTGAGACAGTTTATACCAGTAAGTACATGAACCCTCCCTTCGAGTCCAGATCTGGACGAAATTTTGTCATTCACTAGTGCCCCTTGAGAGTTTGATACTGACTCAGATCTAGCCGCCAAATGGTCTGATTCATCTCGAGAAGATGGAACTTTATTAGATCTTCGGTATCTCGGCCGTCTCACTATAATCCCCTACTATGCCTTTGTGGGGAATCTTGAAAGAAACGCTGGATTTTGCCCAGAATGTGGCTTATTGAAGCAGAACACGACACTGGAATTGCTTCATCAAGATTTGATGCCAGAAGACTACGTGCTCAGGATCGCCCACTTCAATTGGCATGCAAAATTCGCTCATCTGGATCCTCCCTCCCTCGCGAGGAGGTGCATATGAGACTTTGGTCAAAGGCTGGAGTTGACATGCAAAGTTGCTGTACCCCTCGCTGACTCCCTTGCGAATGTGCTGTCGAATTGCCCAATCAAACAGTCTATGCTACGCTCGCTCATGCAGTGTCCGCCCTGTCCCGAGTCCACTTGAAGCATTGCATCGCTGCATCGAAACCTTACAGGCGAAATCAGGCAAGCAGACGGCCCGTCGAGATGCATTTTGCATTGCCAGCGTGGCCCGTTATTGAGGCCAGCAGGTTTCTAAGCCCCAATGACAGCGAACCCTAGAAAACTATAGGGTAGCCATAGCCCACTTGGCCGCAGTTATGGTAAGACGAGAATGAAGCCACTTTGCGTCATGGCGTTTGTCTGTGTCTTCCGTTTCGGATAACGGTGCGCTTGGGTTCAAGTTGGTTCTGTTCTTGACGGTCTCTTATGCAAAACCAACATTTTAACGCACATGAATCAAATCAATATCTACATCCTTTATCCGAGCGCTTAATTTCGACTACAAGCTGAGTTGTGCATAGTTTTCGTGGATGTGTAGGCTGTAACTAAACTCTTGCTTTGTTTCATCACGCTTGAACACATCGTGGGTTTGCATCGCAACAACTGGACAACGGCTACCATCTGCAGGAAATAGTATGTGAATAGGGGCTCAGGAGTAGGTTTAAGCTGGTGAAGCTGCGCTGAAAGATGTAGACCGCTGCCGCCAGAGGCCACTTACACGGCCCTTATAATATGAACTGCATAGGGGTTCATTTACAGAGCCGCAGACTTGTGCGGTGTGCTTCAACGGCGTGCTAGCTGCAGCGACGTCCCATAAAATATGCAACCAAGTCAGGCGGTCAACAAAGTTGGCACTGATATGTTGTGCACAGCCAGTTGCATCCCCTGTCTAGTGTAAAATATGCGAGCGCGGGGGATGCATGTGAGTGAATTGAGTTGAGCTGATCTGTTGAATGTGAATAATGAAGGACCTTTCATTATGTCAGTGTAAGTGACGATGATGATCCGTGTAAGTCGATATATGAGTTGATCTACAACCTCCGATCAAGAAGCACGGAGCAGCAACGGTAGAAGCAATGCCGATTGAAGGCCTTGATTGGCAGTTGATTAGATGGACGACATGCCAGGGGCTTCAAATCTCAAAAGTACGATGCGTAACTTTTCGATTTGATGCGCTTTGTGGTCCCTCTGGCCTAGGCCCCAGGCTCACGAGCAGGGCTTTTGTGCCTCTTCTCGTCCACACGCAGGCCCAACAACTGACGAGCGCACAGAATTGAATTGTTAGCGCGAGTGCCCTCTCGCATATAGCGGGGGCCACCCCGGACTCACTCATAAGAAGCGAGATGACATGGGCTGGTGGGCATAAAGAGCACAATTAAAGCTCAAATTGCCACCGTCAGCTAGTGGGGGAGTGCACAAGAGGATAGGGGAAGCAAATCGTTTGTTTGTTTTGATCAGAACGGGAAGATTTCCTGCGCGTCATGAGAGGGGCCGGCATATCGGGATGTAGGTCAGGACATGGTTGACACTGATGCTGATGCTAGCCTTGGAGGTGCCTGTGCCCGATGCGATGAGCTGGCCTGGCCTGGTATGGCCATGTCATGACTGCTACTGATTCTGCTGGTGGAGGCAGAGAGGGCCTGAAGAAGAGGGCCACTGAGCGACAGTAAGAAGGAGAGAAGACTCTTCCATTGGAAGTGGCTAGGATGAAGAACTCGCTGGTTAACGAAAACTAGGTCCTACTGTTCCCATTGACTAGCCAGGGCTGACGTTGTCTCTGTTGTACACGCTGTACAACACAACTCACTCACTTGTTCGAGGTAGTCCAGTCCTGTACGAGGCGAGTGATGGGACCCGGGATAAAGCATGCCCACCAGCAAGTGATGGCGACGATCATGACGCTGAATGGTCTGAAGGGGACGGGAGCCAGCGAACGGGTGGGCTCTAGACACGGCCCCAACCCCCCATCCCAATCGTATCTTGCTTTGGACTCGCTGCAACCTGCGAGTGCCAGTGCAAGTGCCCGAGCTGCGACCCTCGATCTATCTTGGGACAGTTACTCCAGCGTCTAAGTTGATACTGCTGTCCTACAATACCTGCGACCTCTAGACTGACCAGCAGAAGCGCTCGTCTTTTTTGCTCCATTGAGAATAGACCTCATGCCATTCCACCAGAATTCCATGCCATGTTAGAGGCGATCTTCAGTCCAACGAGCGCCATCCCATGCCAACTGCCAGTGCCATGGGATCTCCCCTGGCTGGTAAGAACAGAGCTTGAGGGGAGGTCTCAGGGGTGAAGTGGCTTGCGATGGCTCGAGGAGCGTCTGAAGGACGGGGATACCCCTGAGCACTGGCGCTGAGAGGCGCCCAGTGGGGTGTTGACGAACCAGGGCTTTGGATGTCCGACTTACATGTCAGTCTCTTGAATAAGATGATTTCCACACGAAGTTTGGTGCTGTTAGAGGCTATTTCAGCTTGGAAGATGTGAGCAAGAAGGGCCAGACTTCCTTTACAAGTGAACATATCTAATTACATCCGTATACATCTTTCTTTCTTGTAGACGCAGAAGGGATGCTGGTCAGTCTGAAGTTTGAGGTTGGCTTCAGGAACCACTCCAGACTCTACCCATGGATATCATGGTCCTCACTTTTCAGTGTCCTAGCGCAACAGGCATCGAGGCTCAACAAGTCCACGGGAACAATCAGTCACAGACAGCCTGATTTTCCCTGACGATCAACGATCGTCGTTATTCAATAAGTCGGTTGTCCTTCCTACGGATGACGAGGAGGAAGCATCAAGACATAGAGAGAGAACCTCTGGATATGACGAAGTCACGAAGGAATGTGATTGTTCCGATGAACGTGCCATCATCGATGAGACAGAGAGATCAGTGCTACTCTACCTGTAGAGTAGAGTAGCAATCAGTAGCCCAGAGGCTTGAGATGGAACATGGGCGGGCCATGAGCGGGTTGAGTTACGGGGACCAGCTCCCGGCGCCATCCTTGAAGGAAGCCACTCGCTAACAGGGCCTGCCTGGAGGGTGTGTTAGTGAATTGATGTCTGTATGTTGTTGCACCCCTAGCTTTTGTTTGGAGAAACGCGTCTTTTCGTGTGACACTATTCCTTTTTAGGCAAACGAGTAAACAAATGCGTCACTTGTCGCGCGCCTCTACCCCAGCTTGTTATTTTCCAGCCTCTTTAATATAACGAAGAGATTTTTAATTGTAGAGTACGAGTACGGATACACAAAACTGAATTTGCCTCCCTGGCGGAGAGTACGCGCGTTGTTTTCCTGTTGTGATATTGACTGTTCTAGTGATTCTCCCGTTCCTCATCAATCGATATATTGATATTGGTTGAAGACGGGAGGCTTGTAGACAGCTGGAAATCCCCCACTAACTTAACCTGAGCTGCCTGCTATTTTTACGGGGCGTGCGCCAAACCGTTAGCCTCCAGCGCCAACACGCGCCATCCCTGGGCTCCCACGCTCCCTATCCCCATCCATCCATAGCGGACCCCCTCTTCCAACCACTCCAGGCTGTCTTGTCCATCCTCTTTCTTGCGCGCCTGCCCTTCCCTCTCATCCCATCCTATCCTGTCCTACCTCACTAGTATTTTGTCACACCCTCTGGGTCTTTTTACTTGCAAGTCAACTCTCGTCTGCACCAACTTTCCAACACAGACACCAAGAAAGCCCAGACGAGTGCATACCAGCTTGACTTGCCACTACCAGTCGTTGTCCTTTCGACCTGATATTCTGAGTCACCAGACCCCCGTTGAAGTATCCACGTTATGCCCTGAGGAAGGGTTCTTGGGTTTCAACGCAGCCACACGAGGGGTATTGTACACGACAGGGCAGTATAGTATTATTGCTCTGAACTCTGCTGCTTGTGGATTCAAACAAACCACAAAAACAAAGACAGAACGAGCGAGAGCAAAGTAAAAGCGAAGACAAGACCGGACGACAACTGCAGGGACAATTTGCTTTTCATTAGTCTCTTCTTTACAACTTCTTAGTTTGTGTCAGGATCAGTAGCCCATGCCCGTTCACGAGCGCCATGGTCCAACTGCCACACACTAACTAACTAGTTAACCTACCTTACTCTCTTGTCTTCCCGTTCGTCTCTTCAACCCGCCCACCCCCAAGTCCAACCCGGACATCTTCTACGAAACACGACACTACCACCACCACCTGCAGCACGACTACTCCTACAACTGCTTAGTAGTTTCAACTTCTACCAACTTTCCTCCTCAACTCAACCTCACTTTTCTTGTCGACAATCACTCATATTTACTCGACACTCAACGCGAACTCACGTCGGCCCACTCTTATCTAAAGGTATCTATCTGGCTGCCTTGTCGACGACATCACCATTCGGGCACTTAAACGGAAGCCTACACTCAACGCACTTCTGCCTTCTGCCTACCTCACTTTAGCGTCTGATTTACCTTCAGTTGTCGAGTCATGATATGACCTTCGACATCCGAGTGAGACTGGCATAGCTTTTGCGATTTGTAGGGTATCGCGTCGAGCTGCTTCTCACATCTTCGGCTTGGCCATTTCACGCAATACCGTTAACGTCCTGTACATTTGGCTCACCAACGTCCGGAACCTTTATTTCTCCCTACTGCATTCTTCACCGATCGCTTTATCTATCACCATCAGTAAATATCGATAAAGTCAAGTTTACTGTTTCCATCCATCAGCCTTACTGCG